ATATATATATATATATATATATATATATATATATATATATATATATATATATATATATATATATATATATATATATATATATATCCGACTTAGGGCAAACGCTTGCATTGTAAACAAGAACACGCAAGCTACTGAAAATGGAACAATAATATAGTGTTCGCAAGACTGAATAAGCCAAACAGACTAGGAAAGAATATTTTTAAAATTGCCATATTACAAAATCAAATAAATTAATTCAAGCAAATTTATTTCAACTGAATATAAGCGTTTGAAAGAATGCTGCAGATTTTACTGACCCCATTTACACTTCAAATATACAGAATATTTATATAAAAATACAAATTATCGAGAAAATATACAGAATATTTATATAAAAATACAAATTATCGAGAAAACATACAGAATAATTTATATAAAAATACAAATTATCGAGAAAATATACGGAATATTTGTATAAAAATACAAATGATCGAGAAAACAAGTCTTCTTCAACTGTTCTAACACGAATTTAAATATTAACTTTAACATTTATAAACATTTTACTCGTGAAAGTGAATTTGACAGTTGTAAAAATTCTACTGTTTTGACGTTTGTGTAGTCGTTTGGAAGCTGAAATCCCGCATGATTAATTCTTCTTGTGAGTTTGTTAAAAGAGACTCAATTTCAGTATCTTTGCTTACCGTAGCCAGGGCAGACATGTCAGGGTTTATAGCGTTACGAATTTCAGCTACGTGATGTTCGCTGGAATCAATTGCAGAAGACAAACAACCGGCCATTTTGCTCTTCGTTAAATCGCCGGTTTTAGTGCAGCTCTTTAAACTGCTCTCACTCCTGTGACCACTCACGGACATGATGTGTCTTGCTTCATAGCCATTTCTGTCGAGGATTGTAATTGTGGTTGCTCGAATCGAGTGGTTGGTATATTCAACGGAAAGCTTTGCTTCTTTTGATAGTACTTTCATCTTCTTGCCAAGCGTGTTTTCGTCGACGACCATATTGCCATACCAAATTATCCCGTCAGAAGGACTGCAACGCTTCGGTCTTTGGAAAAGAAACTAGTTGAGTGGATTAAGATGGGTCAAATATTTCTCGAACGAATACACAGTCACAGGGCAGTAGGGACTATCGTTGGCAACCATCATTCCCCCTTCCTCGGCTTGAGCGTCGTGTACACGATGGTTTTTCGTGAGTTCGTCCGTTTTTTTGACAACACATCGCTGTCCTTGTGGGTTCGTTTTAATAGCGAAGTCATCTCTCTTTAGTTCACGGAGATTTCTTCCTCGACAACAGAAGAAGAACATAATTTCAAAGAAGACTTTGTTTTGCAAAGTAGCGGGACTGTCTGTATTGAAAACGCCGCTTTCGTATAGTTTTTTGATGTCTTCGTCGGCTATTGGCGGTTTGTGTTCAGTTTTGGCAAGTCCTCGTTTCTTTAAATATACGCATTGAGCCTCGTACACGCTATTTGCTTCTTCAAACTCTTTATCCTTGATAATATCGTTGTTGAAAACAGACTTAAAGTATCTGTTCAGTCCAAATCTTATTGAACACATCGAATTTTTTGTGTATTCCGACCCATATTTTTTTCTCACTTCAGCATAAAAGCTTTTGAGAACCGAAGCAAGTTCTTCGCTATTCTCTGGATGGTCAAGCTTCTTTTCTCGTAGATACTCTTCAAAAATCGCTTTGGTTGCTTTTGTAGCTTTTTTTCTGTTTACTGAGTCTTTTTCTTCCAGCAATTTTTTGATTTCAGCTTCCCCAAGGTCGACGAACCTTTCCTTTGAGGAAACCATTTGTATTTTCCCGCTTTTGGCATATAAGCAGCATAAATTAGTGTGACGTCATAATGTCGTATATGTGTTTTCAATATACGACCAAATTACGTCATAATGTCGTATGTGTGTTTTCAATATTCAATGGTGATGTCATAACTCCAAATTTGGGCAACTACCGAACGGATATGACGATTTCATCCACAGCTCTTAACCAATCAAAACTCTTGAATTACTTTCAATAAATAATAATAAACCTTGGCTGTACGACAATAAATATTTCGAACCAAATAATTCGAGTTTGATGTTTCGAACTACAGCGGTGTGAGATAGCTTATGTAAGATTTCAAAGATATAGGCACTACTCGAATTGGCTTAATAAGTGCACGAGAAACAGCAGCTTGAAATCAAGGTGCGCAATGCAATCCACTGAAAATTAGTAGTTTTGGGGAAGCGTCTGTTGAAGTATAATATTATTCATCAAGCAAACGTATTCGCAATGTTTCATGTAATGTGTTTGGTCGATGTTTAGTCATTCATTAGGAGTTAGGTGTCAATTGGGACGCAAGTCCTGTTCCTATCTCTAGTCACACAAATGTTGTATTTTTGCATGTTCTGTACTTGTGTCAGTAATCAATCTTGTTTTGTATGTAAATGAATTGTGACAAATCAAATTAAATAAATGTTACGTTTCTTTTATTAATAAATTTTAATTAAAATAATTAAATTCAGGGTGAAAATTCTTTTCATCTGAGATGTTTCCACAAAAAAGAAAATTTTATTTAAAAGAAAGTATGGACCATACACGCAATTTGTTTGTTAGTAAAGGCATGGTCGCTGTATTCCACGATGTTTTCTAAAAAATTTCGTCACCTTGGACTGAAGCAATTAGTGACAGTGCCTACTAGAACGGAAGCTCGGTATATAAATGGGACATTCTACATCACCTCAACCCTCATTGATCATATTTACTGTTCATGTGAAAGAAATGTTGCTTCTATCCATATCCCACCACTTTCACTCAGCGATCATTTTCCTGTGTTTCTCGTGCGTCGTGCAAATGCTGCTTCAAGGCAGATGGGAAATAAACCCAGCATCATTAAATACCGATCACTATCTAACCTTAATTAACGAAGTCAATTTCCGAAACGATCTACGTTCCGCCCCATGGGCATGGTCCTCCATTGAAACATATGATGACCTTTCCGATGCACTCGCACAGTGGTATCAAATCTTTCAAAGTATCGTTGATATACATGTACATCTGCGGACAAAGAAAGTTAAGTCTTTACAGCTTCCAAAGTGGATGACATCAGAAATTCTCGCGGGAATTAGACAACGAGATCAATTGAAATTGCAAGCACGAAGCGGTGTTATACCATGGGAAACTTTCACACGCCAACGAAACAAAATAACAACCCAAATAAAACAAGCGAAACAGAATTACTTCAAACGAGAAATCTATCAAAACAAACATGACTGGAGGAAACTATGGAAACTGATGAAAGATGCAGCGGACCTCAATAAGAACAAAGCAACACCTAATAAGATACTTGATAACACCGATTTGATCACGGATCCAAAAAAAATCGCGAACATTTTCAACTCCCAACCAGCCTAATTTCGATGCCTTACGTAATTTTGTGGACACTCGACTTTGCAAAGACCACCAATTTACAATTCCGCCTATAACTGCTGAATATCTACATTCAATGAGATCAACAACCTGTCATGTCACAAGACAAAGGGAATTGATGCCATCAACGTCCATCTTCTCGAGATCGGCTGCAATGATCTCCTTCCATCGCTTCTGTACCTCTACAACTCCAGTATAACCTCAGGCATTTTTCCAGACCAGTGGAAAATTAGCAAATTACGCCGATTTTTGAGAAGGGTTCACGCTTGCCACTGAATACTGTACAATATCATATATAACAAATGATAATAATTCATACTTGAATGAATCATTTGATATGTAGAATTTAATAACAATTTCATACATAGAAATACTACCAGTAAGTCAGTTTTTGCTCCAATTATCATTTCAATGGTACCTTCAAGGTTACCACTACCGCAGAACAATGGAACAATCTGCCGATGGGGAGACAAAATCTATTTTGTTGACATTTTTGTTTAATACGTCAGCTTCATGACACCATTCATTGTATAAATGATTAAGATTGCAATTGTTTAATACGTCAGCTTCATGACACCATTCATTGTGTAAATGATTAAGATTGCAATTGTTTAATACGTCAGCTTCATGACACCATTCTTTTTATAAATGATTAAGATTGTACTCAGTCAGAACTGTAAAACTATATAATAAGAAAGAAAAGTCAGATAATTTTTCATTTGTGTACAATTGTGTGTTCCAATTTGGACATCATACTGCTCATTTGACCTTATGCATAATGATGTCACAAGGCTTGATGCTTGCGAGGAATGTTGGTCTTAAGCTATGGGCAAACTAGGAAACATTGTTGTGGAAACATTTGTGATTCGTGATGTTTCCTCAGATGTTTCCCTGTTTGCCCACCCATGGAAACATTGTTGTGGAAACAAAATTTGCTTCCCGAGAAGCAAAAATGTTTCCTAGCAAATTTAGAAACATTTGATGTTTCCCTATGTTTCTCACTAATGTTTCCTAGTGTTTGCCCACTCTGGGAAACATGGCGAAACATTGGCAAGAAACAATGTTTCCGCAACAATGTTTCCTAGTTTGCCCAGGGATTTAGTAGTAATCGCCCAGGAAAATTAAACAATTCAAAATGGCCACTATCAAAATTTTCCTGGACCGTGATGACTACTAAGACCAGTATTCCTCACAGACATCAAGCATTAAGACGTCATTGTTCATAAGGTCTATTGATTTGATATACAGTCCAGGGTGCATTCCATGTAAACTCTACGCCGGAGATACGCCAACATTAACTATAGATAGTATTGTAATTTGTCAAACTCACGCCGTAGATCTTGGACGTTTTGTACACGGAATGCACCCTGGTATACAGTAAAGCCCCGCATAAAAGAACCAGTGGGTTATGAACACTAGCCTGAAATTTGGGCAATTAAGCACCCAAAATACAATGTGTAGAATATAAAAAAGTATAGTGTGAAGTAAGATAATATAAGAACCACTTCAGCCTGAAGTCAAAATTCACTGGTTCTTTTATGCACGGCTTAATTACTTATTACTGCATATCATATTCCCATAATTAAATAATAACAATATTAATAATCATTTTACTGTAATATAATAAATATATATATATATATATATATATATATATATATATATATATATATATATATATTATTATACATAACTATTTTTATTGGCAATTTTCTAATTGACATACAACCTACATATTTGTAAAATTTGATATACAATACCTTATTGGCTTGATCTTTTGACAGAATCAGTATACAACTTTATTATTGCCAACCGTCGACGATTGCCCAGCTAGCAAGATCACAACTTCGCTAGTATGAAGTATAAAATATTAAAGGAATACCGAATGGTTTTCCGTGCAGGATTGCGTGATCCATGCACACGGATCCATGCACATTTTTACGCTTTCCGAAAGTCGAGCAACATCCCAAGTGCATGGATCATGCTATCCTGCACGGGAAAACCATTTGGTAATTGTTTTATAAAATTACTA